TTATAACCAGAAAACATCAATTCCTCGACGCGTTGAAAGTTTGATAAACCCTTTGTCGTTGATTTATCAAACGCGTTGCAAATTATTTTTCTTTTCTTTTCATCAAGAAAGGGAAAAAGCTCGAAAAACCTTCCATCTCGCAACCCATTTCCCCTCTCTTGACACTCTTTCTTTCGCCTGGGCGAAAGAAACCATTAATTACCGGCATTGCTCGCGATTCCTCTCATCGCGAGGAAGTAACCCGATTCTTCTCGAATCGAGAGACGAGCTCGTCTGAAAGAGAGGAAACTGAGAGAAACCAGATGCATCGGATGAAATCCTTTGATCGAGAGGCGGTCTAAAAGGGTGGTCCAGCTTGAGGTATCGAAACGGTAATTGACACCACTTTCACGGTTAAAACCACGGCTTTCCAATTTTCTCCTTATTTTCACCGTGTAATAACTTATCTTGGCGGCGTTTAGCCAGGGTAAAGGGATGCTTGCTTGCCGGAGGAGAGCACGGGACAGTAATGGCCACCATATATGTATATATCTATGGTTCTTTACAAGGCGGCGAGATAAGCTCTGATTGGCGACCGAAGCGTGATCACTACGGCTTCCTGAAATAGCTCCAACCTCCATCCCTCTCGATCTTCCAGTTTCCCCTTTCCTGGTATCCTTGGCAGAGGGGTTCGATTGTAGGCTGATGTCATTGATGACACCACTTTCGATCTTCCATCTTACGATAGTATCATTCTGCTTTGGACGACGCTTTGTTTTCTCGTCAACCGTATTTGGTTGAACGAGCAACTTTATTGTCGTGATAAGCTTTCAATATTGAGAGATTTGATTTGCAATCAATCGACAATACAGTTTATCAATTTATCTTCTAACCGATACTTAATAATTGTCTGTGATTTCATCGAAAGTAGAAACATCGTGGTGAGCATATATTTCTCATTTTTCACTTTTTCGCGAGAAGCGATATTCAACTTGATTCGTCGATGTGTAAATGGATTAAAATTAAGAAATCCTTGTATCAGTTTGTACCTCGATTATATCCTCTTTTTTTTTTTTTTTT